TCCAGTTGCCTCTTGAAAAAACACCTTTGGGACAACCATGACCTGAATGACTGAGAATCTCCACAAACATTAAGTGAAGTTATTACAGTGGTTTTGATTTTTTTCTGTTATGTGGGAATATGTACTAATCATATTATGATTCGTATTAAAGCATGGTTTGGGGTGATGCATAGATTCAGGCAGTGGTGGGATTCAAATATGTGAACAACCGGATCTCTGTGTGGATGCCGCTTCCGGAAGTCCATTCTGGGTCTGGGCAACAAAAAAATTAGCTACCGGTTCTGCCGAAGTGGTGCGAACTGGCTGAATCCCACCACTGGATTCAGGGGTTGTGTCCTATTTCAGTAGGTGAGAGACTTGGCTGAATTCAATTAGAGGGAGAATGTATGAAGTGGCTGATGAAAATAAGGGGTTCAGTCCAACTTGGTAGATGAATAGAGATGGTGAAATTGGATTTTTTTTTTTTAATATTAGGAGACATCCTATTGTTAGGCAAACCAGCAAGGATCACCCTGATCTGCTCTAGTACATCGGGCTGTCACAGTGATTGGATTAGAAGGCTTGTTCTACTGCAAGACTGCAGAGCTAGTTCTAATTTTGTCATCTTTGAATTGTCCGAATCTGGGATTAAGATTGCAAACGTTGCTTCAGGGAGAACAAAATTACTAGTTTTAAGTGTAGCTTTAAATATTCTGAGCTCGCTGCTGAATTCTCATCAGACAAACAAGCTAATTATATCTTTTCTCCACTCACAGAGGAGTTGTAGGCATCTGTGCTAAAACAAGACCAAGAAGATTAGAAATTAATGACGGAGAAAGCATTGTGTTAGAGACAGTTAAGCAGTGGCAGTAAATACACGCCCCGCTGAGATCGTTTTGACTGATGTAGCAAAGGAGTAGGTGAAGTGCTCAGGCAGACTAATAGCCAACCTGCCATCTTCCCTTTTCTAAAATTGATTTAATGCGTTGCAATAAGAAGTTGCAGATCTGAAAATCCATAGTCTCAAGACCTTTGCTTTTAATCTCCATTGGGAAGCTCTTTTGGATTATGTTTCTCAGTGACTAAAACACAGGACTGTTGAGTGATTTCTGGATGAGACTTCTTTTACATCGTTAAATTCTCCTTATTTTCACAAATGCCTTGCATACAAAAATTGAGTCAGAGAAACACATTATGTTACCAGTTAATAAAATGATGAGCTATTCACGGAAAACAAAGCCTAAAGCGAAAAGATCTCAGTCTTTGCAGTTGACCTTATTAAAGTTTCACATTCCATGTGGAGGTAATCTTCAACTTACAATTGTTCATTTAGTGATGGTCCAAAGTTACAACAGTACTTGAAAAAAGTGACTTGTGACCGTTTTTCACACTTAACGACTGTTGTAGCATCCCATGGTCATGTGATCAAAATTCAGACGCTTGGCAACTGTCTCAGTTTTATGCATTGTCCCAGAGTCATGTGATCACCTTTTACGACTTTCTGACAAGCAAAGTCAGCGGGGGAACCCAGATTCACTTAACAGCCGTGTTACTAACATAACAACTGTCAACGCTGCTAACATCGGATGTTTTTGCATTGACAGCAGATGGAAATGTAGCCATCTTTTACCTTTTGCTTTTAGAGTTAGATGGTGCTAGGAGGGGGGATGTGAACGAGAGTCCAGCTAGACATAACAACACTAAACCTAGGTGAGAAACAAGGTTATTGTAACCAGAGCTGATAAGGAATTGGCCGGGCTGGAGAACTGGAGAGGGAGCCTGTGCTTCAGGCTAATTGGGGAATGTGATTTATGACAGTTAATTGGAGGAGGGAATTGTGCTTTGATACTATGTGCTCAAGGGAGGGGAATTCAGTTTTTGGCTTCGATTATGCAGTGCCGATATTATGCTACTCAAAATAAAGGTTCTTAAGGTAAACAATGTCTCGAAGTTCTTTTGAAGAGTTTCATTTGTCGGAACCATGACAACAACTGCAGTGATTCACTTATCAACTATGGCAAGAAAACTCCTAAAATAGGGCAAAATTCACTTAACAACTTTCTTGCTTAGCAGTAGAAATCTGGGGCTCAATTGTGGTTGTAAGTGAAGGACTATCTGTACTGAAAAACAGGGTACACTCTCTGATGCAGGAAGAGCATATACCAGTGATGGCGAACCCCCTTTTAGAGACTGAGTGCCCAAAAACTGGCCCCGCCTCCGCCCCCACCCCGCCCCACCCTGCCTGCCCGTAGGGCCACTCACCACCTCCAAGGCCCCCACAGATCGCCCAGGCAGCCCAGCAGCGCCATGGCGGCCACGCCCTTTGCACACGGCCCGCAGCATCAACTGTGCGCGTTGGGGCGTGAGGGCAGAGTCTTGTCTATGCTGCCTGGCTGCCATGTCCTTGGCTGCGCTGCTCCGTGTGGGCTACGCTCGGGGGCGACTCTCCTTCAGGGAGGCTGCTGGTGGGGTCGCGGGCGGAGGCAAGGCTGGGGCAACAGCATGTGTGCCCACAGAGGGCTCTGAGTGCCGCCTCTGGCACCCGTGCCATAGGTTCGCCACCACTGGCATATACTCACTTTCAAGCTAAAGGGATATTTTTCTGGGCTTGGTGCTAGGCTAGATCTCTAAAAGTTTACTGAATCAGGCAACAAAGAAAGGAAGACAAGGACAAAAGCAAAAATGGTTTGAATGAATGGAATGTTATAGTAACTAAATACAGCTATAACAATTACTGTTGTTTTCATCTGCTGCAACAAAAAAAAAAATCTCTGTGGTGATAGCTTTTTGAAGGACCCTGGGACTACACATCTCATGTTAAGCACAGTTGATCACATAGTGTAGATGACTGCATGTGGGTGTCTGTTGTTAGGAAATAAAAGGGATCAGCAAGGACTAATGGATAAGTATAGGATTTCTTGTGGAGGGACCCGCATACAAATCTCCATTGAAATATGGTAACTGTGGGCTAGTGTCAGTGCAAACTGGCACTTACACTCAGGTGGCAGACATTGGCTGAGCGGAAAACGAAACAGAAGCACTGGCTTGAGGCCTACAGGCAAAAATGTGGAATATAAAAGAAAGGAATAAATTAAAAAATACTGTATTGTTGATAAAATAATTTTAGTCCTGCTATTATTACCTAGACCACGGGTGTCCAACTCGCAACATCACATGACGTGTCATGACGTAGCGCGACTTTTTTTCCATTGCCGGCAATGGGGTGGGCGCAGTTTCGCTATGATGCCTCTGGCCCGCGGGCCAGCAGTTTGACACCCCCTGACCTAGACGTACAGGTAGTCCTTGACTTACAACAGTTCATTTAGTGACTGCTTAAAGTTACAACATCACTGAAAAAAGTGACTTATGACCATTTTTCACACTTATGAGTGTTGCAGCATCCCCATGGTTGTGTGATCCAAATTCAGACACTTGGCAACTGACTCATATTTATGACCTTTGCAGTGTCCTGAGAACATGTGATCCCCTTTTACGACCTTCTGACGAGCAAAGTCAATGGGGACGCCAGATTCACTTAACAACCGGGCTACTAACTTAACAACTGCAATGGTTCACTTAACAACTGAGGCAAGAAAGGCCATAAAATGGGGCAAAACTCACTTAACAAATGTCTCACTTAGCAACAGAAATTTTGGGCTCAATTGTGGTCGTAAGTCGAGGACTAACTATACTCTGTTATGCATGCCTGTGACAAATCTCAAGTTGAAACAGTTAAAATGGCAATGTGAACCTCTAGAGCAGGGGTCTCCAACCTTGGCACCTTTAAGACTTGTGGACTTCAACTCCCAGAATTCCTCAGCCAGCAAAGCCAGCAAAGCTGGCTGAGGAATTCTGGGAGTTGAAGTCCACAAGTCTTAAAGGTGCCAAGGTTGGAGACCCCTGCTCTAGATCAGGGCTTTTCAACCAGTGGTACGGGTACCACCTGTGGTACTTTGGCACCTGGCAGGTGGTACGCGACCATCCTAGAAAAGTAGTGGGGGAGGGGAATGAGCTGAACCGGTGGTAGCACCGCACAAGCCTGAGCGAGAGATGGCTGGAGCTGCAGGGCTGTCAGGGCTCAGCAGAAGCGCCAGGATCAGTGCCGCTTTCCAGCTGATCAGCGCTTCTTCGGGGCTGTCAGGGCTCAGTGGAAGCGCCAGGATCAGCACCAGGCTCCAGCTGGAGCTCAGCGCTGATCCTGGTGCTTCTGCTGAGCCCAGAAGCGCCGATCAGCTGGAATGTTGCAGGATCTCCAGGGTCTTGTGATTCACATTCAGATGCTTGGCAACTGATTCATATTTATGACGGTCACAGTGTCCCAGGGTCATGTGAAGTGACCAAAACCTGCTGCAACCACCCAGCAGACAGGGGAAATAAAAACCAAACACTCCCCCACCCCTCCCCCGCTGCCAATCCTCAACAGAAATGCTCACAACAATGAAAACCTCAGACAGGAGGAAGAGCGCCGCTAGGTGGGCAGGCAGGTGTCTTGCTCGGCTGTGGCTTGGGGGGCACTTTTTTCAGTGCCATTGTAACTTCGAACAGTCACTAAGTGAACTGTTGTAAGTCGAGGACTACCTGTGCTTTATCACTTTTTTCCTATTTTTTTGGGGGGGGTCAAGTTTTTGACACCTTGCTAGGCGACTGGTGGTACTTGGATATTGCCATATCCTAAAAGTGGTACAATGGATGAAAAGGTTGAAAAGCCCTGCTCTAGATATCATAAATAAATGGAAATTCTTTAGGTATTATGGAAAAAAATCCCTTAAAATGTTTTTACTTAGAAGCCTTGTTGACAGTGCAGCTCCTGCTTCTAAGTAATGATGCTTGGGGCAACTGGTAGACAACAACAATGGGGACCTTTCACTGGGACAACTATGCCAATTAATGGGTGGTTCTGAATTGTCTGAGGACTCTTGGGCCTACTCCTAGATTTTAAAGACCAAGGGTAAACTGTTTCCAAATCTTTCTCTTCGGGGGGAAAATGCTGAAGGTAGAACTAATTATGACTCTCCCACCAGGAAAGCACCAGCACGGTGCAGAATGTCCACAAAAAAGTGCAAGAGCTGGAAAGAGAACACTGTGGCTGTTCGGAAGCCTTGAAGCGACAGGCCAGCGAACTTCAGTTCGGCGTTGAGAGGGAGGCTCGACTTAGGAAAGAACTTGAGGTAAGAACGTCACCAAGGAATGAGGTTGGTAGCTGATAGCTGCCTTCCGTTCTGTTCCTGGGGTTTGTTTCACTGCAAAGGAGCTATTGATAGAAAGGCGACCTTGTCAAGGCCCTTTGGAGTAAAAGACGATAAGGCAATACCAGTGAAAGGCCTAAAGGAAAGAAAAATGTTTTAAAATCAGCTTCTTCCGTAATTCAAGTCAGATAAAGGAGGCTTTTCTCGTTTGCACAGCTTCCGTGTAAACCGGTTTATAAATCCCTGTAAGAGGCCTTGGGCTTTGGCCAGAAATTTCCAGTCACAGGAGAGGTAGATTTTGGTCAGCTCATGTTCTGTTTTGCGTTGTGTTACATTCTGTTAGTACTTGGCTTTGTCCTGATACAGCCTCTTATTGATAATTTTTAAAGAAGGGGTTTTATTTCAAAGGTTTATCTGTTAGTGGTTCAGGCGTTAGAAACCAGGAGGCTGTGAATTCTAGTCCCACTTTAGCTACAAAGCCAGCTGAGTGACTTTATGGATACAGATACAGATATATTCAATAAAATGGCAAACGGGTACAGGGAAGTGATACCCACCTGCCAGTTAAATGGATCCTGTTGATTGACCGAGGTCTCCCTTTTCCTATGTACCCCTTGGAGGAAGTCTGTGGCATAAGCAGTAATTGGCTAAATAGATGAGGCCTGAACTGCTACGTGAATAACCTCTGAAATAAATCAGCACAAGGCAGCATTCTCCAGCCCGATGCCTTTCACAGCTCCCATCATCCACAGTCCAAGAAATTATAATTCATTATAATACAGGTCACTGGTAGGCAACCTTGGCTCTTTTATGACTCGTGGACTTCAACTCCCAGAATTCTGGCTCAGGAATTCTGGGAGTTGAAGTCCACGAGTCATAAAAGAGCCAAGGTTGCCTACCCCTGATACAGGTAGTCCTCAACTTACAACCAAAATTGAGCCCAAAATTTATATTGCCAAAGTGGGAAATACGTTTTGCCTCATTTTACAACTTTTCTTGCCACATTTCTTAAGTAAATCACCTCAGTTGTTAGATTAGTAACACGGTTGTGAAATGAATCTGGCTTCCCCATTGACTTCGTTTGTCAAAAGGTTGCAAAAAGGGATCACATGAGCCCGGGATGCTGCAACTGGTTGTCAAGCATCCAAATGTAAATCACATGACCATGGGGATGCTGCAACGGTCATTGATATGAAAAACAATCATAAGTCACTGTTTTCAGTGCCATTGTAGCTTTGAACGGTCACTAAACGAACGGTTGTAAGTCAAGGAGTACCTGTACATACAGAGTGTATCAGGCTGGGTAAGAGTGCCAGGAATAAAATGGGGAGGGTAGATACAGAGATAGGATTCACTCCAAATCATCAGTGTGCTGTTATAACATATTTTATTTCTTAGAACACAAAGAAAAAGAGGTGGGAAACAATTTACAGAGTCCCTGGAGAGTTTTTAGTGAGCAACTACTGTAGTTTACTGTGGCTTATGGATCTACAGTTCAGGGATAGTTTTTTTTAAAAAAGAGCAACAATTAAAAGATAACCCTTTTTATTATGCTAATATTGAATTAGGAAAAACTTTCAAAGTCTGGAATTACAAAGGAGATGAAATGAAATGGCTTGTGGTTCTGGTGAAGAGCGGAAAAGATTAACAAAGGCATTACATAACACATCCTAGCAGTTTGAGATAGTTGTTGCCCAATCTTACATGGAAAGTCCTTTAAATTTTCCAAGAAGAGGATAATCTGAGTATTGGGGATTATTTTAAATGCTCAGTTATTTTTCTTTTAGGCAATTAAGGAGTTTTTAAACCCAGCACAGGTCAATCTCATATCAAAAGGAAATGTTGCTTTAGTGTTAGTGTTCCTTTGGTGCCCTCTAGTGGTTTTTGAGGTCCATTGGAGAACATTTAACATCTCAGTATCCTTGATTCCTCAGTTTAACATTTTTTCAGCCTTAACACATTTTCAGGCCTCTATTACAACTAGAAAACAGCTGATATGCAATTTGCATTTCTTGAATGCACACTCTCTTGGCTTAATTTTTGTTTCTTTTTCTTTTTGGTTTTGTCACGTAGCGTTTATTATGTATGGACTTATTAAGTAAACATCCAATATCTGGGATTGAAGGAAATATTTTAAAAGTTTATGGGGAGGAGATAAGAATTTATAGTCTGAATAAATTATTAGGTGATTATGTTTTATGAATTAAGAGGCTGCCAGCTCAGTTATCTGGAACTGGAGTCCTAATTTGATTTATTTACCTGCCAAAATCCTATAAAAGTGAAATGTGCTGTAAATAGAAATACCCCCTTCTGGCTTCCAAAGATTCTTTTTAATGGAGTTAGCACATGCTGCCAAACAACTTCTGCATGGACTTTATAAATAAGTCTTTATTTTTTCCAGTGTCTTGATGTGGATGGTACCATTAGGAGCTGGAAGAAATAATGGGTCTTAATGTGTTTAGGTGTGTATGTTTTAACTAGTATGGATGTTATCCGAATACAAAATTACAGAGTTGGAAGGGACCTTGGAGGTCTTCTAGCCCAACCTCCTGCTCAGGCAGGAAACCCTATACCAGACATGTCAAACACAACGCCCGGGGGCCGGATGCGGGCTGCGAAGTGGTTTCATGTGGCCCACGAAGCCATCCTGGAAACAGTGAGGGAATGGCCCCCGCTGCCTTGGCCCTGGCCCAGGCCGGCCGGGAGCCAATGTACAATTTTGTGGTGGCCATCTTGGCACTTGCCCCGGTGGACCATGTCTTGGCACTTGCCCCGGTCCCACCCCTTTCTGCCAGAGACCCTCAGATCTGTCCCACTCCTGCCCAGGCCCCCATAGGCACCTTTGACGCGAATGATGTAGAACTGGCCACGCCCACCCAGCAGGCCACACCCACTCCATCCACGCCCACCCAGTAGGCTGCACCCACTCTGGCCACACACCCCTGCCCCCCCAGGGCAACCGCAGTGCTGATGCGGCCCTCAGTGAAATTGAGTTTGACTCCCCTGCCCGATACCATTTCAGACAAGTCAGTGTCAAAACAGTTTACCCATTTCTTTTAGAAGAGCCAGAGAATCTTAATTTTGTTTCAAAGAAAAACTAGGAATAAATTTTTAAGCAATCCACTCTGAAAATGTGTATTTTTGGAACAAAATAATGACAAAGTCTATTTATTTGTTAGCTCATAGCTCCTAGAACAGGCACGTCAAACTGCCGGCCCGTGGGCTGGATGCATCACGCCGAAACCGTGCCCCACCCCATTGCTGGCAATGGGGGAAAAGTCGCAATATGTCGCACGACGTCACGTGATGTCGCAAGTTTGACATGCCTGTCCTAAGGACTAAGGAGAAATTTCCTAATAGTGAGAACAGTTAACCAGTGGAAGAGCTTGCCTTATAGAAGCTGTGTGCGCTCCATCACTGGAGGCTTTTAAGAAGAGATTAGACAGCCATTTGTCTGGAATGGTACGGGGTCTCCTGCTTGTGCAGGGGGTTGGACTAGAAGATCTCCAAGGTTCTTTCCAATTCTGTTATTCTGTTCTGTTCATGTCTTTGTTAGATTTTCTACAAGTGCACAGGTAGTTATCACTTAAAGATGGCGATTGAGATGGGCAACTCTGTTGCTAAGCCTCCTGGTTGTAAAGCTTGATGTTTCACGACTGCGCCAACTTACGATGAGAGTTGTGGCAGTTCCATTTGCCTTCATTAGGCAAATCCTGTGTGGTTGCAGTGTGCTGTGGTCACCGTGATTTGCCATTTGTGACCTGCAGGTTTCCCCATTGGCTTTGCTTGTTGGAAGTCAGCTGGTGATCATGATTGCAGGATGCTGCAGTGTCAGAAGACCCAAATTATGATCATGTGATGCTGTAATGCAGGGGGGAATGGCTGGCTGGGGAATTCTGGGAGTTGAAGTCCACAAGTCTTAAAGTGGCCAAGTTTGAGGACCCCTGCTGTAATGGCTTTGACAATGAGGACCTGTCATAAGTCCTCCTCATTCAGCGCTGTCATAGCTTTGAACAGTCATTGAATGTTGTTCAACAAGGATTACCTGTATTGATTATTGAGGCTATGTAAACCATTTAGAGGTGTACTTCATGGAAGCCTCTCTTCAAAATTCAAATTCAGGGTAGTTACCACAAGAACTGTTACATGCCATGAACGTATAGGTAGCCCTCAACTTACAACTATCTGTTTAGTGATTTTTTTTGAAGTTACAATTGCACGGGAAAAAATATTAGCATAATAAAATATAATAAATATTAACATAGTAAAATATAATAAATATTAGCATAATAAAATATAATAAATATTAGCATAATAAAATATAATAAATATTAGCATAATAAAAAGAGTTTTCCCGTGACCCTTTTTCACACTTGCTACTGTTGCAGTGTCCCAGGGTCATGTGATCGCCTTAAGCAACCTTTTGATGAGCAAAATCAACAGGGAAGCCAGATTCATTTAACAACCGTGTTACTAACTTAACAACTGCAGTGATTCACCTAACAACTGTGGCAGGAAAGGTCGCAAAATGGGATAAAACTCACTTAGCAACTGTCTTGCTTAGCTACAGAATTTTTTGGGCTCAATCGTGATCATCTGCCTAGGGCAGGGGTAGGCAACCTTGGCTCTTTTATGACTCGTGGACTTCAACTCCCAGAATTCCTGAGCCAGCCATGCTGAGGGGAAAGGGAGAGGTTTCCATGCTGAGCCTTGCTGGCTCAGGAATTCTGGGAGTTGAAGTCCATGAGTCATAAAAGAGCCAAGGTTGCCTACCCCTGGCCTAGAGCTATCTATATGGATTCAAGGGCAATTGACACGTGGACCATCCTGCTGAAGTGGCGTGTGCTTTGAGCCATGTATTTCAAGGGCATTTTACTGGCATTCTGAAATGCCTCTCTGAATAGTTTTGCACAGATATTCTTTTATTATAAAACTCAATTTATAATAAAAAAAAATGGAGAGATTTAAAAACATGGCCACAGTAGAGAAAGTGTCACAACCATAGAGGCCAAAGTTAAGCAAAATAAAATAACCCTCAGTGGGTTTTTAAAACAGAATACGGTAGATTAAAATGTGTTTGAGATCAGTATATTTGTATGATAATTGATTCTGAATATTCTACTACTACGGCATATTCAATAAAGTTCTTAGGAAACAAATATCTGGTTATTTATATATGAGAAGAAGACCACTTAGGTATGCTGAATGTGGCCCTTGTAAAACTTCACAAAACAAGATAAATTTCATGAACCAATCTGGAAGTAGTTAGGAGCCAATGCAGTTAAGCACAATTTGGATTGATATTAAATAGTACTTTTAAACCGAGAGTTTAGGGAAGTACTTGAGATGTGTGCGTTGTTAATTTCTTATTAACTTTTTTAACAGCTAGCTATGGCCAGAGTAAAAAAACTGGAGGAAAACATTGAGGCCGAGAGGGCGGCACATCTGGAATCCAAATTTAATTCTGAAATAATTCAGGTAAATTGAGAAAAGAATCATATGGAATCGATAAGTGCATTGCAGGCTTTTTGCACACCTGGATTGTTGGCACATGTTTAATTGTTTTACATTGAATTTTATGTTTTTGTGTATGAAATGTAATCATCTTTAAAGAACAATTCCTTGAAAGTATTTGGACAATTGGTTTGTAACTAATTAATAAAATAGAACGTGCTGGACAAATGGGAGGGTTTTATGCCTCAATCGGCAAGGCAAAGTGAAGTTTAAAACACCTCAGGTTGATTCCTAAATTGATGTAGCCTCACTGGTCATCATATCAGGCTGGATCAACAGTTATTCTCCTAAGGTTAAATCTGTAAATTATGATTCAAGGGTGATAAATAGAGTCGAGTTGGCTATAGGACTATATTTGTTGCCTTTGTCATCATTTGTCTGTTTGTCTTCCTCTGATGATATCAAAATTCATCCTAAAGCAGAATTCCTCATAATTCAAGTTCTGTAACTAGCTGCATATCCTGCTTTCAAGTCTAGGAACTGAACTGAATTCTTAAAGCTGATCTGGAGAAAATGACAAGGGACTGGAATAACTTGCCTTTCGAAGTTTTGGGTGCTCCATCACTGAAGGCTTTCCAAAAGAGACTGGACAACCATTTGTCTGAAATGATACAAGGTCTCCTGCTCCAGCAGGGGATTGGACTAGAAGACCTCCGTGGTCCCTTCCAACTCCATTATTCTATGTTCTATGAATGCCTCTAGAGCAGGGGTGTCAAACTCAATTTCATTGAGGGCCGCATCAGCATTGCGGTTGCCCTCGGGAGGGCCGGGTGGGTGCTGCCAGGGTGGGTGTGGCCTACTGGGTGGGCGTGGATGGAGTGAGTGGCCTACTGGGTGGGCATGGCCAGCTCTACATCGTTCGTGTCAAGGGTGCCTGTGGGGGCCTGGGCAGGAGTGGGATAGATCTGAAGGTCTCTGGCAGAAGAGGGTGGGACTGGGGCAAGCACCAAGGCATGGTCCATTTCTTCATTCCTCACAAAGGGTGACACCTCCCCAGCATGCACCCAGGGAGCGGGGCCGACGTGGCAGGGGCTGGTCCCTCGCTGTTTCTAGACGGCCTTGTGGAGCTAAGACTGAATGCGTTTCAGCATAGATGGCCACCACAAAATTGTACATTGGCTCCCGGCTGGCCAGGGTCAAGGCAGCGGGAGCCGTTCCCTCACTGTTTCCAGGATGGCTTTGCGGGCCACATGAAACCACTTCACGGGCCGCATCCTTGTGTTTGACATGTCTGCTCTAGAGGGATTTTGGATTACAAATACTAAGGCAAAATGCTGCCCAAAGGATATCATGTCGCTTTTCCATCTTAGTCATGAAATATATATGTTTCCGAGCAAATAAATCTTAGAAGCTTGCCATGTTGATTCTACATGCTTTCTCAGCTCTGTGTCAAATTCTGAACCAAGGCCCTGTGAAGGAATGTGTTTAAACCTGTGTCCTAAATAATTTATATCATAAGATCTTTTGCCCCACTGCCAAATACCAGAACGCTGTACAAAACACCAGCCTTTTGTGCACTGTTTATCCAGTAATAACTAAGAAAGATGCATATTTCCTGAAAAAAAAAAAAGCTAAGCAGTGCTGATAAGCATTTTTTTTTCATCAATTTTCTCTCTCATTTTTTTTCCTGTGTAGAATCTGTTGGATCCAAATAATTCTTTTCAAATGTTTTGAACTGTTTGCACTGTGGTGTGTACACGTCTCGGTGCTTTGATTTTTCTATTGATCATGCTCCAACAGAGTCATGGTTAAGGGCAGCAGAAGCTGACTCTGATTGGGCAAGTGGGATCGGAGAATATTATACATGGCCCTGAATTCACCCATTCTCTTAACCGCATTGTGATTGCCTGTCAACGTTAATCCGAGTTCATCATAGCCAGTATTTCTTTTACCTAACTATGGTGATCGGGTGGTTGAAAAGCTACACTTATCCTGGACTTTATGTATATAAACCTCTCTCTCTCTCTCTCTCTTTCTCTGTATGTGGAATGATTTTGGCCTAGCCATTTTGTCTTGCCTCATTTTGATCTGACAGAAAGCGAAGCTCCGCAGCCTCTTGTAATCTTGATTGTTGTTCTCCTGTGATTTTTGCAGTTGCGGATCCGAGACCTTGAAGGAGCTTTGCAAGTGGAGAAGGCCAGCCAAGCAGAAGCAGTTTCTGACTTGGAAATGTTCAAAGGCAAATTTAGAGAGGTGGAAAATGCCTATGAGAGAGAGAAGCGAAATGCTCACGACAGCCTGGAAAAATTCGACATGTGAGTGGCTTCTTTCCTGACTGAGAATTGGCATTTGAGGGGAAAGACTCACACCAGTCCACAAAATACTCATCTGTTCCCCCCCCCCTATAACTCACACAGCACAGAGCGGATGGTGACTTTAAATGGGGTGATGTGATATGGAGTTAATGGAGTTGCTGTGTGATTTGGCCCCTGTGTGGTCATTTTTCACAATCCTAAAAAAATTCCATGCCTACGGATCCCTTTTAAGACTTAGGCTGCAATATTTCGCCAAGTGTTTTGGTTTAACTTGTAGATTGTTCAGTGCTTAAGCAACGCTTAACAGTTTGTGAAACCTTTGGAATTTTCAATATTTCGGCATAAAGATGACTAAAATGTGTCATGTTCCACACACATATGTTCCAAAACAATATAAAGAGAACCCAATTAAACAAATTACACTTGTTCATTTATTTATTGAGAAAAATGAACCAAAGCTTAATTGGATTTTCTGATACATTCTCTGATATGTACCCCCTGGAATAGCCTTTTGTAGTGATACTAAAAATAGATGTTGAGCATTTGGGACAATATTTAGCTCCCTAAAAAGCAATAAATGTTAGTTAAATTAATATTTGAAAATATGCAACAATTTTATTAATAAACTTTATAGATCTCTCTCTCTCTCTCTCTCTCTCTCTCTCTAGATATAGATTCATAGAGTTAGTCTTCATTCTAAAAGGGCTATAATTGACTACTACTGATTTAGTATAATGTGCAAAATGAGAACTCAAGTTAGCGTTTAAAACATTTCCTTCCTTTCTTTTTTCCACTCTTTCCCTCCTCCCTCCCTCGCTTAGGAATGTTAAAACAAACCCTCTTCCTGCTTGTAGGAAGAGTTAGTACAGGACTGAGTTAATTCATGCCAGGCCAGAATTGGGAAATATAGAAAATAAAATCAAAATAAAAAAATGCAATAATGTACATTAAAGAACATGTTGAGTAAATCTTTCTGAATTTTCCTGTCTTGATTTTTAAAAAAATGGTCTCACCCCACACTAGAAGTTATCTTACAGAATTCTTTCTTTAATGTATCTGGTATTAAAAAGACACTACCAATTCCCTCCATGTTATTTTACCCTGATTACAAATAGCCCAACTAAAATATTTCATAGATAACATCAGACACCATTTTTTTCTTACATCACTCATCAGATATTGATCAGATTGTTCTCTTCCAGGATGTTGGTTTCAAGCTTCAGACAAAATATGATTTATTGATTCTTTTAGATTTCTAAGCGGATCTGTTAGTAATTTTCAATATGTTAGTCCAGAATTGCAATATTGTTTGAATATTCTGTTAAGTGATAGATATGTATATTGCGGTAGAAACTGAAAAAAAAAACCCCATAAAAATTCTCCTTTATAACTATACTCCAAATGGTTGCTGTCTTCTTATCAGAATATCCTTGACAGTTTACTACTGCAATACATCAAAGCAGTCCCACTGGTGTAGGAAGGTCTGTGTGAATTCTTTCGCTAGAAGAACATAATATTAGCCCTGCTGAATTCATGTTGGTAATGCAGAAGGATAGCAAGGCTTGACGATGGTTGCCGTTCCCCTCACTTTATGGTTCTTATACTTTAAACAAATGTCTCTTTTCTTCGATATTGTTTTGATATTGGAGAAGCTCTAGCAGCAGAGTTTGCCACCATAGCTAGGAGCAAGATGTGAGGAGAAATCTTCCTGTTGGTGAAACCCTTCCTAAATTCCCTGAAAGAGAAGGAGATAACTCATTGTACAGACACCGGAATAGTTTCTCTGTAGTTGTAATTATAGCAAGGCCCAAGAAAGCAGTATTAGAATCTCCACATGTGAGTTATAGACAATAATACACGAGCCTGTAAGTTGTTTCTTAATTCCCGCTTCGTCCCTACATTTGGATTACATTTTTTCATGTTATTTTGAAATGTATTCATTGTAAAGAACATGAAATGAACACAGTTTATTACAGGTAGCCACAACCACAATTGAGCCCAAACTTTCTGTTGCTAAGCGAGATAGTAATATCGTGATTTTTTCCCCATATTATGTTCTTGCCACAGTTGTTAAGAGAATCACTGCAGTTGTTAATTAAGTATATGGGTTGTTAAGTGAATCTGGTCTCCCCATTGACTTTGTGTGTCAGAAGGTCACAAAAGGTGATCGCCTGACCCTGGGACACTGCAACCCTCATAAATATTGGTTCATATAAACCAATTGCCAAGCATTTGACCACGGGGATGCTGCAACGTTGTAAGTGTGAGAAATTGGTCATAAGTCACTTTTTTCAGTGCCGTTGTAACTTCGAACAATCACTAAATGAATGGTTGTAAGCTGAGGACTACCTGTATTTCAGATTTTACCTTTTAGCTAGTCAAATATATTTGATGCCATTCAATGAGTTTAAATAACCGGAATTTGATTATTCCCAGAAGATGTACTGGATTATTAGAACAGTTAAATGCTACCACATCCATTGACCCGTTGTGCCCAATTCACCTCATAGAAATGTTAATATATATTGCTGGTCCATGTATGATATGCCATGCGCTAAATAAATAACAACCTATAGCTGATGACTGTCTATTGGTATCTCAGCATTTCTTTAGATTTTTTTCTGGTTTTCTTAAATGTTAGCAAAATGATAGCATAGAAATATTGTTGTTTCATTGAGAAGAGTATATAACATATTTAAATCTTTTCAAAAAATGCTGGGCTGTCTTTTCAGGTTAGAAAGGGAGTATCTAGCTGCAAACAAACATCTAAACGAAGAGATAGAAGAAAAGAAGAAAGTAATTAAAGACCTCTCTGAGACACTCCAGGATAATGAAAAAAGTTACAAAGAATTACAGGCTGAACTTTTCCTGGTAAGAGAGAAACCTTGAGGCATTTCCTTTATTGGGGGTGAACATGCTATGTTTATTGCTAGATTCTTTTCTCTTTTCTTTAAGAAGGCCTTTCTGTAAAAAAGCATTCAAAAGGGTGTCTAATCTTGGCAACTTTAAGACTTGTAGACTTCAACTCCCAGAATTCCCCAGCCAGCTGAGGAATTCTGGGAGTTGGAATCCACAGAGTTACCAAGATTGGACACTCCTGATTTAAAAGATATCCTTTGCCTATGTATATCAGACTCATAACCAAGTCTGTTCTTGAAATAACAATTTGTAAATGAATAATGTGGCCAGCTTGACAGGGTAAGTGTAGAGTTTGACAATGTCCATTAAGGACCAATAAAATAGATGTTGTAATTAGGGAAGGAAGGAGTATGGGTGTTTCATGTTGCTCTCTGAGTCATTGCGTTACACAACTCTTTGCATGCTATGGATACACTACTCATGAATCTGCATAATCACTAAACCTAACCTTTTAATTTGCATATTTTACCCTCAAAATAAGTTTATCCTGAATCTGAATGCGGCTGTCTTGAGGTTTGGCGCAGCTTTGCCAAAGAATCCATGATTGGTTTGCACCAAATACATGAACAAAGGGAGTTTATCTACTGATCTGGAATTCAGTTATTCAGGCTATGTGAATGGATTCTTGGGAATATGAAAAAAGTGATTTAATTTAAAGTGTTCTACTGTAAGCAGTTTCTGACCCCTTTTACTATCACCGTGTGTAATCAAAATTCATCATGATTCCCAAATTGTGGAAACTTTCTACATTTCATTAGGTACCAAACTTAACTGTGAGATGTTTGTAATGTTTGTTAAAGATGGCTATGGATCCAGATCCTTGCAGGGTCTTAAAATGAAATATGCAATGGCTCTTTAAACAGCACCCGTGAAACAGCTGCATTTCATCAGCTGAACGGGAAGGAAAAGGGTTCTGTTCCACATAATATTCTCAATATCATTTTTAATTTCCTATCAATTAAGTTGCAAAATAGCTAGGAGCATACTAGTAAGGGGAGCCTTGTTTAGTCCAATATTCTGTTTCCTGTGGTAGCTAGCCATCTCTAACTACCAGAAACCTAAAAAAGGGTAACAGCTACCTCTTCCTAATGTTTTCCAGCTACTAATAAGAAAGAAGAAAACTACATTTTATTGTAGTTATTGGAGCCTTATCCCTTATTTGCCTAATCCCTTTTTAAGCAGATCAGGTTGGTAGCTACCATTGTATCCTGCAGTAGTGAATTCCATTGGTTAAATAGGTAATGTGGGAAGGCATATTTCTTTTTGACTGTCTTGGGCCTCTGCTTCATTGAATGATTATGTTTTTCAATATTAAGAGGGAGAATTCTTTCTAATTAGGTGACAGGTGTGGCCAAATAGATGGAAAGATTTTTTTAACCTTTGAGCATTCTGTTTTTCTCACTACAACTTCACATTAATGCTGTAGTTTTTTCCCCCACATACCCATCATCAATAATAATTCTCTAAACTAAGCCCAGATGCTACAGATTTAAGTACTCAGTGGCTCCATGTTCACATACAAGTGGACTAAGAATAAAAGAGATTTCCAAGTCCTTAACACTTAAATATTTGTTTCTTGATATCTTTTCCTTACATTTTAAAGCTAAATTTGACTGCTTGTTTAAAAATAGATTGTTTTTCAGAATATTGTTCTGCTTTAAAACAATTGAAAAATCACTCAAGGAACGACGTTTGTTAGATGTGAAATAAATAAGGGTTTTAATAGTCATGTTATCAAACCTATAATTAAAAAGAAAGTAATACAAATTAAAAAGAAAAAGAAGAAAAGAGGACAGAGAAAAAAATAGAAAAATAGAAACAAAAGAAAAAATAATACCATATAGTAAAGAAAAAGAACAGATATATACAAAGATATGATATCACCCATCATCAATATAAATGTAAACAATTTTTGTAACTTATTACTTTCTCTTAAAATACAACAAATGATCCCTTCTTCTCATATCCCATTTTTAATCTATAAACAAATCCTTAAAACCTTATTGTCCTGATCAGGAAAAGGCAAACCAGAGATAGCAACATATCTATTTTAACCTTGATCAGATAAACCAATTTTATATTCCTTCCTTTTACTTTTAACAATCTTGTTCTCTAAAAATGAAGCTGTCTTCAGTTCACCATTTCTTCCTCAGAAGTGCCAGGTTTTTTGTTTTTAATGCTATAATCAGTTGGTCTCATTTTTGCACTGAGCTGCTTAATTTAGTATAATGTATGGACTGAGAAGTATTTAATGTGCAAGAGCAAGATAAAATTTGCTGCTCCCACATTTATATTGGCACCATGGAATATTGTTGAGGAGTAAGTAATATGGACCCCTTTTTTCCTCCTTGTACATGCTGGAAGTAACAATGTAGAAAGTGTTATTTAGCTGGTGGAGGCAATATGTGTATTTTTCCAAATGTTTATTTGAAAGAAGCTACTTGGCAGACCTTTGTGGATTGTACCACTCTTTGGTTAATCCTGTGTTGTATCTGTATTTTTACTTGTAACATTAAGGTAAAGAAAACAACACATGCTCCGTAATATAACATCTTCCAAAATAAGGGGGAACAATACTTGCCTAAGAGCAATAGTTCTCATAAATTGTCACTCCCCCAAAGTATAGAGTCAGATCATCTGTAGGTGCTGTCTACTAGAGACCTTTGTCTTCTCTAGAAATATCCTTGCTTGGAAATACCGCTGTCTAAAGTTCTTGAGAGGATATGTTACCAGGCCAATCTCCAGGTATTATTATTTGTTCTCCTTGTTCCTTAAGAAAAGTATCAAAAGATGCCAAAACAATTTGTACCTTGATGTAGACTCAAAATCTTTGGAGGGTGCTGTATATTACTGGCTTCAGAAGGTGTCTGCTATTATTCTGAGAGTTCCTGGAATGCTGAAGGGATGTGAATTGGTATATGTTTCTCTGTTAACATTAATATTAAGTTAAAAAATTCCTTTTTGGCAATTCACTCTAGTTTGAGTCTATTCCTTTCAAATCCTAGCATACCTATTGGTTCCTGGGTTGCCAACAGAACTTTACCTTCAGATTATTACTATTAGATAAGCTTTCCTCTTTTTGCGGATCCGTTCTTGCACAGGGCTATACTATGAAAACAGTAAACTGTATTTTCTCTCTGATTTTGAAGAGAGAGAGAAAAGATGTACTCCCTTGCTTTGTTGGGGGAAAAAATGTTCAAACTTTAAATTGAACAATGGAAACCTCAAGTCGATTCATTGTTGGAAAAGATTTAAATGCACTTCTCCATTTCAAGAACCTTCTGTGGATCAAAGGTTTATGTGCTCTCATGCTATTTTATCTGCCCCAACTGGTATTAAACCTCTTTGTGGTCTCATTCACTGACCATAATTTGGATACCCTTTAGCTGCTTCTAGTCTATTAAGTATGGAAGCAATTTAAATTCATATACTTTTAAGACCAGTTAGGGGACTATTACAATTATCTAGTCTGACCTCATATGCATACTGGCTAAAAAATTCATCCTGGTTGAATTGAAGTGTACCTTCCACAGAGATTTCATATTTCATTTAGAAACTCCATGTAGCAAGTTGTTTGATAAGTGGTTCACTGTAATCATCCACAGTATATGAAATTTAATCTCTTTATTTGTAACTTTTGCTTTCAGGGATTAAAACGTATTTCATAATGTATTTGCATTGCCAAGGACTCCGAGGGATTCTAATGCAATTGTGAAGCATGATTGAAGGATATAATTAGGCCACGGGATTAAATACTTGCCCCATCTTTCTATAGGTGATTTGACCATGATTAAAGGTTATGCCTTTGCTTTGGTTACTTTTGCCTAACACTAAATTCTTACTCTAGTTAATAAGCTGTGATGACTATTAGTAAAATGAATGGGAAGAACTGAAGTGGAATAGGGCTTCGTTCCAAGGCCCATTTTCAATTGCTTCAAATAATAAAAGGAATTATAATATTAAATAATTTCTTTAATCCTAGACCTAGAAATAAGCTGGATGAATGGTTGCAACCAGCCTGGAGATACTGTTTGAAGGCTAATTTTTTTAGATCCACTTCATTCTTGCTTCACGTTCAGTTTTGGGTTCGACATGGACATGGTTGCCTTGCAGGTAGATAGGGCTGCCCGAGCTTGCTTGGTTTTTTTTTGCTGACATTTCATTACCCTAACTAGGTAACATTATCAGTGGTAGTAGGGAGTTGGTTTGTTCTCATTTTAAATTCTAGTGGCTTGCTCTGTTGGTATTGATGGGAGTGGTCTTGGTGGTTCTTCGGTTGGGGCTGTTTACTGTTTGGCGGCTTTTGATTATCTAATGTTAATCTTGGTGTTGATTGCTGGTGGGGAGGTGTTTTGGTCTTTCTGTTCCCTTTTTGGCTTGTTGAGTGCCTCTTTTGAATAGTACATAAATGTTGTTTATGTCTATGTGATTGTTGATGACCGATTTGTTAAGAGTGCCAGGCTTCCAGGAATTTTCTAGCATATTTGGACTTGACTTGGTCTAGACTGGTCATCGTTCACAGTTGAACCTATGGCTAATTCTGTCCAGGTGCTGTGAAATTAAGAAGTTTTCATTATATCTTCTTGCTGTTAGTTGGTATTCATGGACACACATGGACACACAAACAATATTCCAATCAAGAACAGCTGAACAAGCTGACAATAAACAGCCCAACCAAAGAACCACCAAGACTGCTCTCACCAACATTGACAGGACAAGGCAGTAGAATATAAAATGAGAACAAACCCCACTCCCTGCTAGCACTGATGATGTTACCTAGTTTGGGTAATGAAACATCTGCAAGAAAACAACCAAGCTCAGAGAGCACCAAGGACCCCTCATTGATTAGGCCTTCTGGCAATTGCCTAGCTGGATTCTGGACACAAGGTTACCTTTGAAAATTTTTCAGAAGTATAGAGTCAACAATTTATCCAGTTAGTTACTGTAAATTA